AAGCTGCAACTGCTGTCTGATTATTTGAATATGCAAAGTATAAACGGGAGACAGAACAGTCAAGTGGCGTGTCGAAGACATGCATGCTGCGTGCAATCAGGTGAGCCTGGAGGTGATTGTGAACCAAATTCTCTGTCACGTGAACAATAACGACAGAAGGAAGCCACTGTTGCCTGTAAATATGCTCAGTTGACATATTACTGGTACAAAAATGACATGATGAGTGAAAGCATTAAAAATAATGTAAATATAAAGGAGCATATCATGGGAAGAGGAGGGAAGCAAGGCAGGGATCATAAATTATTGACAAATCACAAGGGTGAGAAAGAGGCTGGGGCAGGGGAGTCGGTAAGTGAGAGTGAAGGGGAAAGAAGACATTATGGGGGTAAAGTAAGGACAATGTATGAAGGCGTTAATGGAGATGGGCAGCTTCAGTTTAGGTCCAGATCAGAAGGAATTCCTGATTGTTGCAGTGACACAAACACCATCAATCTGCTAGCTAGCATCTCCTTCCAGTCTTTTAACACTACCGGTAAGTTCCCTCGTTTCTTTCAGCCCATTTGCGTCCATCTCTAGTATAGACCTATTGAAAGTTATTGTTTACGTCTGGGTAAGTGTGCAAGAACCCTCTCTCCAGCCTTTGTCCAGAGCTGTATCTCCATGAGTTAAGCCAACAAAGTAAAATCTAGGGATTTAGATTATATAACACATTTTTGTGCAGATTAACAAAAAAAAAAAAAGAAAAAAAGAAACATCTCAAAGCTAACAGTGTTCAGCACAAAGCTTCCAGATCAGTTTGAAATAGCTAATGAGCTGTGGGGACGATAGTCCTCAGAACCGGTCGTCTGGACCTCTCACAGCTGAACCGACAAGGAGTAACCGGATCTCTTCTGTTTTGCGGGTTAATGCTGAACGAACGCCGTGGCACCGCTCCTCTACGTAAACAAAAACAAACAACATCAGAGGCTGCCTGCTCCAATTACACAACGCATTTTGTGTATTTACTGAAACAAGACCGTTACCGCGGGTCACACAGATCTACACACCATGCCAGCATTGTCACTTTCACACACAATTACTTCTCAGGACTGATCAACAGCACAGCTCCTCCCCACTGCTGCCTCAGCTCGGTCGGTCAGATCTCCCCCGGCCGGCTCCTCTTCCCATCGGTCGCGCATAATTATATAATGAAAGCATGTAAGTCATTAGGTGGCTATGTTTGTTTTTGGACGGTGGGGCAAATATTAAACTTTTTTTATTACGTCGCAAAACCTCGTCTGTGACGATGTGGGTGGTTTATCCACTAGAAGCCTGAAGGAGTTCTGCCAAGCTCTGGGGTTGCTAATGCTAACTGTTAGCTTCCACTAGCTGAGATGTGCTCTTCTCTCTCCTGGACATTACTAGACAACAGCCCTCCCTGTCACAAGCCCAGAAGAGTGAGGCCATAAGTGCTAATTTACAACGCAATCGTCAGGCTTTTCTAATCTGAGAAGTTCCCAGTCTATATTCTATTGGTGGCTAATGCAGGAAATAGGGTTCAAGACTTTCTTCATGTTTAGCCTGCATATTAAACCTAGAGTGACCAACCATATTTTAAAAAATTACAAGTAAAACCAGTTTTTCAGTAAACCCGACCTTTAGATAAAACAAAAAGATGTTTGTATCCTATAAATAAAATTTAAAAAGTTCAATTATAAGCATATTTTCCAGCATTGTGATGTCTGAACATTTGCGAGATGGGTAGAAACGTGGAGGTGTGAGAGGAGGGATAATGGGGAATTTTCAAAGTGGGACGTCTCCCCCCATTATGACCATCATCATTCTAACTCAGCCAATAATCAGACGCTCTTAATATCCATCTCCTCATGCCAGAACCCACATGCACAAATGTGCATCGGCGCACACTCAAACGATTGCATTGATCTCCCCAAATCATCATTAATCTGCACTGCAGTTCTATTAGGGAAGATTCTGCATAATTAGTTTTTGCGTAGTTTGGTTGTCTGTGTGTGTTTCAGCGTGTGTGTAGCTTGGGTTATGAGTTGATGATATTAGATTGTGTACCAGAGACGGGGACTTCCCTGGTGGTACGCCGTGCTGAACATGCGTTTGCTGTTATTGCGTTTCAGAAAGAGACAAAGAGCAAACTCAATCAGAGGAAATCTAATATTTCTTCAGCTCTATGTGAAGCTGTATATTGCATGTTTATGTTACAGTGTGTCTTCGTGCATTTTGTGGATGTATCATTTAGTGAGAAGTCTAATATTTAATAATGTTCCACCATAAGATCATTACACCTTTGCTTTGGGAAGTAACCCCAGTGTGTTTTCACAGGTTTTTGTAGGAAGATGAGGTCTGTACTCCTGTGTTTTAGAGCTTTCTGCAAGCAGCCTTTGGTGGATAATTCAAACCCAGCTGCTGCAGAATGCTGACCTTACAATAACTATTGTTTTATGTGTCTGTGCAGACATGGTGGTCCGCTCCTCTGTTGTGACCCATGGGATTGGACACAGGCAGCATGCTGCTAATCCAATCTGAAACAGTAGGTAACCCTACGAGGCTCAGTTGGAGGGAAACATTATGCTGACCAGCTGACTGCGTCGGTGGGGGTCCAGCTTATCTACAGCCAACGTTTCCCTCCTTTCTAATTTCAGAAGTATGGATTTTGGACTTAAGGGTTTACGTTTCAATTCTTCTTTTCTCCATTTGGGTTTTGAAGTTCCACAGTAATTAGTTGAAAGGCATAGTTCTGCATTTTAAACCAGTCATATTGCCCCTTTCTTCTGAATGCAAGGCATTTGTGTAACTGACCAGAAGAAAGCTGAGGGAAGCAGTTTGGTTGTTTCTAGGGTGTGCGGGGCAAACGAGCCTTCTGCATGTGCAAAGTAAGCACAAAGATCTCAGAAGTACATCCCTAGAGTCCGGGGCAGCCATGCAATAAGTCGGACATGCAAAGAAGCATGTTTGTGCACGCTTAGTGCTGAAATCATTTAAAGTCTCTCAATTATGCATCTGGCAATGTTGTGCTGCCTCACACCTTATTACACATATTCATAATCAATGACTTGCATTAGATTAGAAAGACAAGATGTCCTTCAAGCCAGGTCAGGATTTGAGGATATTTGAGAAGCCTAGTCTACAAACAATGGTCCTTTATGGCAGCTGGGTACAATTCAGCTCTTTCAGACAACTCCTTGGGTTATCACGGTCTCTGGTTTTAGTCTCACCCCACATACAAAATCTATTTGCAATGGGAAAACCTATAAAGCAAAAACAAACCCATACAACTTTCAGGATTCTTGGTTTGATCAGTACACCCACCATGATAAAGAGGTCATTTGCAAATCTCTACCATTTATTTTGGATCCAATAAAACTTTCAGGCGAAAAGTGAAATCATCTTAAGCCTTTAAAAATAACCAGTTTCCCTAAAAATCAGTTTTTAGGATCATCAGTTTATGGATGAGTGAGATTCTTCAACAAGAGTGAAGAAAAAAAGATGATGGATGTAGAAACACTGACACTTTTTTACAAATTAGAATAACATTCGAGTAAATTGAAGATGTTGTACCACATCCCCTGAAAAAGAGAAGTAATCCAAAGACAGAAGAAGAGAATGCATCATGGATGGAGCAGGTCTTCTTCAGTAACCAACAAGATAAAGAACTTACTCACTGGCCTCTTCCTGATGAGATAGTGCCCTAACACACGAAATGATCGCGCCATTACGGTTACTGATTGAATTTCTCTTGCAGACAGATCACATCGCCACAGATACTGATGGCATTACCAAGGTAACTGATCACTTTGTCAAGGAGACAGACACTGCTGGGGAAAGAGAACGGAAAGTCCTCAACAAAAGTCTGCTTCCGTCTGCATGCAGGGCTGGAGGAGGTGGAAAAGAGCATTCGGGTGTGTTCCATGGGAATGGTTACAGTATGTGATCTTAACCAGTGCTGTCTCTGCACAGGTGCTTCTCCATGGGAAACTATTTACATCAGTGTGCATTTCTTCGCATGCCTTAATCAATAGCAGCATCATGGATTGGAGTTTGCGTACATTTCTCGTGACTGAACGTCTCTGGCTGACTTTAAAGTGGTATTGATCATTGTGGACTTCCTGAGGTCATTGCACCATCCATCCAAGCTTTCCTAAATGCAATGTTGTATCTTACAAATATAACACAGCTGATAAACCCTTAAAAATTATAAGCCATTGGTGGATTTTCTTGAAAACCTGCTGTACATTTTGTTACTCCCACATAACTTGCTTAAATTCTTCTCACTAAACCCAACAAATGTTGTGCCACAGTGGTATTGCAGCTATCAAGATTCTTGGCTGTGTTGCCTTAAATGCTTTAAAATATGTAGATATATCTTTTTTTAATAACAGAATGACATTTAGCCTAAGGCACATTCACATGAATAAATGAAGTATCGCGCTGGTGCGGCACAACAGGCTGGGCTAAATTGGGGAAATGTGCCATTTGTTTTTTGTCCCGCTTGTGTTTGTGCCAGAATTAGGCTCTGTCTGAATTGGCTTTTCTCTATGTATTAGTGTGTGTGTGTGTGTGTGTGTGTGAGCATGTATGAAGCACAAAGGGCCAATGAGGGTGGTGTAGACAGTTTAATGCTTCCACCGAGGAAGAAGGTTCAAGGACAGATCGCTCACTCTCTTTATCACTCTTCCTAATTTTCTCCTTCACCATTTGCTCCTCTCTTGCTTACTACTTTCACCCGGGTTTCTCTTCCTGTGGGACATTTAGCAATCCGTTCACTGCTCTCCATTAGGAGACTCTACCCTGCCCAACACAGACATGCACGCAGACACATAAACACATTCACAGGCACTCCAATTAGTGGCTAAACAGAGACTAAGCACAATTAAGAGCAAGCTGAAATCCTGTAAGCTCTGGTGGATTCATCCTGTGTGTGTGTGTGTGTGTGTGTGTGTGTGTGTGTGTGTGTGTGTGTGTGTGTGTGTGTGTGTGTTTGTTTTTACCTGGCTGTAGGACGCTGATGCCAAGCAAGTTGGAGGTGCGATTGGCAACTTTGCTCCAGCTGTTGTCGTAGTTTCTCCTCCACAGGACGGCGGTGCACTGGTATTTTCCCGCCTCGCGGCGCCCGGCGCGAGTAACCGACAGACGAAAGTTTGTGTTGGAGTGAGAACGGTCCACTGTGGTGCGGGTACCCAACCCAAGCAGTTGCTCCCCCCACTGCAGGGTGCCTTCACGAGTGAAAGTCACCAGGTCTTTGAAATCTCCCTGGTCCTCGTCGTCCGCTCGCGTGCTGGCTGGCAGGAAGCGCCACGTGACAGAAGTGGGCACACGTGGGTTGTGACGGGGCTTCACTAGGCACAGGAGGTCAAAGGATTCTCCAAAGTTTATCGATGGTGTCCGAGATGAGGCGGACACCATGAAAGAGGACTCTAGATGGTGGGAGAAAGGAACAAAGGGAGTTAAGCTGACACGCAGTCTTTTTACAGGTTTTCTGTCTGATGCCTCTATTAAGACACTTGCTTTGGTTTATAATTAAGTCCACTCTATCATGATGTATGGCTGATGAACCTTTTACTGGAAGGAACTATTATTTTAAACACCACTACGCAATGGAACAAAGCTCTTTGTTGGAGAAACACAGACCGCATCGACTACAAGCACACTGACCTATCGTTAAAGTAGCACTAAATCTTTACAAGTAGTTTCATATATTGTTATGGCCTAAGTATCTAAAGACGTCTGTGTGTGTGTGCAAGTAGCTTTTGTAGTCATGACTGCATGATTCAAAATGAACGGTGATGCAAAAGCAAAAACCCCGGGGAGACGTTTCCTCTGAGCGCCAACGTTCGATCTACGCCCAGCTCCTTGCCAAGACTAAACTCTCCTCATTAAGCTAAAAAAAACATTCACCCAACACAAAACGTTGTTGCCAAGATACACCTGCACTGGAAAGCAAGATAGGGGAATGGACAAAAGAGAAAAACAAACACTTCCTACTCCTGGCATTTAGACAAAATGTCCTTATTTAATCTATTTCTGGACATTTCAATTAATGCAAATTAATATTCATGAAAAGAGACAGTTAAAGGGAAAGGAGACAAAACGAGATCTGGTTGTTGATTGGATGTCTTCTTATTGCCTTGAGACTTTGTAAATTCCTCATTATGTTCTTGTCAACAGTGCTGTTGCTTCTAGTTGGTCCCTTAGCCTGTCTTGTCCTCTGAAAGCCGTTGTCCCCGGTGTCCTTCAGAGAGTCTAATCAACATAGTTTTGTTCGTACCTGGAAACTGCCGGGATAACCGCCTGAAGCTACACTTCTCTAACAGACAATAACGCTTCCCTTGTTCTATAACCACTGCAATATAGCATCCATCCATCCAAAAACAAAATAATCTCATACTGATTCCGTTTTTATTTGGAGCTCCATTGGCCTTTTGATGGATGTGACAATATATATATTTATGTGTCTTTGTGTTTGTTAGTAAAATATCTCATGAACCATTGGATGGATTTTAATGAAATTCTCAGGAAATTTTCTTTGGATGTAAAATTGCAACTGATTCATCTTTGGAGTCAGTCTAATTAAACATGGCCACCGCAGCTACTCATCCTCAGCGTAACACACAACTGTCTAAAGCTAAGTCAGTTTTACAGATATTGGTAAAAGTTAGGGCTGGGCAATAAATCAAAAATGTATCGTTATCAAAATTTCTGACTCTTATCGTGATTATTTTTCCCATGTCAATAAATCTGATAATAAAAAAAATGAAAAGAAAGGTGTAGGTTGGCTGCGTTCATGCACACCATCAGAAAATGTAACTCCACCCCAAGTCAAGATTTGAAATATGCCATGAAAGCGGGCGTTGCCAGGAGGCATAGAGTGACATGGCCAAGTGTGGGGAATTTCCATCCTGGGAGGGAGGGGGAGTGGGAGGAGACTGTACCAATGATGTGAAACTGTTCCAGCCCCAGCCAATCACAAGTTTAAAATGCAGTAGCCGCTGTTCTGCCACGGGGGCAGCACTAAGACGTTTTTAGACAGTTTCTAGATTTAATCAAGTTTACACAAACATGTAAAAAAAAATGCACAGAAACAGAAACATTGCGTTTGTAAAGACCCAATTATACAGTTAATTAGCAAAAAATAAGTTGTTTTGGGGTTTAGTTAGTCTTTAACTCATTCGCTGGGGCCGGAGTCTTTCCTCTTTAAGTCGCTTCTATTAATAAAAGTGCAAAGAATAAAAAAGTAAGGGAAGAACTTTACAACTGCAGAAAGCAGGAGTGAAAACTAGATTTATTTCCACGGCAGGATTAGGTCCAATAAAACTGCAGCTGGAGGCTAAAGTGAGAAAAATGAGGGCCAAAGAAAAACACATTGCCCGTCACACAAGGCAGCACATTCAGAAAATCCTTTGATCAACAAGCACGGAGGAGAAAAAAGGGGGACGATGTTGAGACCTTTGATTGAAGGAAGAGGAGCAGCTTTGGAGTTTCTGTGATTTGCCTAATGTGTCTCTGTTTCTCAGACTAAGGTCGCTCTTGTTGCTCCAACTTGACAAATGACCACTTAAAAGTTGACGCCTTGTCTGTGCAGCACTGCTGTGTGCTGCTGCAGGGAGCTAATCCGCTGATTCTATGTGAGTGTGTGTGTGTGTGTGTGTGTGTTTGTGCTGCACCCAGTGCTCTTGGCCTGCCAGCTCCTGACTGCTTTGCTCCAGTGGCTTCCTCAGCCTGCACCACGGATGTTTGGCTTAACTCGACAGTGACAGAGGAAACCCACAGACTGTGAAACACATTGCTGCTGCATTTCCAATCTAATAATTCTGACTAATCCATTTGAGTGTGTGTGAGTTTGTGCAGGTTTAGCACGGGTGTCATGGCAGCAACGCTCTTGACATGAGGCAGGTGGTGTGTCTGTCATAACAGCGCTTTCCCCAAAGCGATGCATAAATAAACCACGATACACTCAACTTCATGGGTAGCATGTTTTTCTCCAAACCATTCAACAAATCAACAACTGTGTAAATCTTTCACTTTGCCATCAAGTACAGATAACACTTATTATATTGTTTACATGCCTTACCGACTAATGTGGGTTGTACATTAGGATTGAGTTACTTACCAACAGTCTTGACGTTGATTGTCCTGTTGGCTGAGCTCTCTCCCATCTTCTCCCAGTTGAGCTCTGGTTCACTGCCGATCTGGAACCACTCAGTAGCCGTACAGTAGTACTGACCCTCATCCCCAGGTAAGGCGTTGTAAATAGACAGAGTGAAGGTGTCCGCTCGAAGCTTCTCCACGCGAATGTCTCCGTAGCTGGAGCGTTCTTTGTACGTAGGGCCATGAATTATAGCCCCATCCTGATCCACAGATGCCACTTCCTGGATTGGTTCAGTTTCTTGCTTGCTAATCAACTGCCAGACAACAGACAAGGGGCCTGTAGTGAAGCGGACTGTGCAGGTCAACTGGATCGGGTCGCCCTCGAGGACCTCAGAGGAGTTGGTGGACAGTGACGCTGTGATGTTGCTCTCTGGAAACAAAGGACACAAAAAACGCTGATGAGCACGCCCGTATGCATATTCCTATTATTCATGATGGGGATTAATCATTTTGTGAGATTTGAGAAAAGCACTTTTTGGAAATCTGCATATTTTTCAAAGAATGCAATTAATTAGTTCAGTGATTTTGAGAAGCCTCTTTGGAAAAATGTGCAGCATCAAGCCTTATTCACACATGGAACATTGTTAGTAGCTCTGTGAGGTTTACGTTTCAGCCATGGCTTGGCAAAGTGACTCGATGACGGGCAGAAATTCGTTCCAGAATCACTTAGCACAACCTAGTCAGTCTCCCAACAGATGCACTGAAAGGTGATTCATCCCAATTCACCTGCAGCCCTGAGCTGGTTTTGTATTTGGAAGCATTTGTATTCCTAAATACTCTTATTACTCTTATTAGACAATGCTTTTGGCAGTTCTATAATTCTGTGACCTCACAAGACCAGCAAGGAAAGCTGGGGTAACGCTGCTGTAGTGGAACCCCATGTCAGCTGCTTCCAGGATCATGCTGTTTTGGTCATGGTCTCATAACCAAAGCTTACAAATATTCAGCCATTTACAACAGCTATCATGGTCTACGTTTCTATGTTCTTTTACAATTTACACCCAAAACAAATGGTGGATTCTTGTGTTTTCACCGTCTACGAGCTAGGAGTTCTAAACCAACGGAGTATAAATAATATGATTGCATCTCTCAAGTGTAGATGTTAATGCAAAGCAATAAATCCCGAAAAGAGGGATTTTGTGTGCAGCGTGGGAATAACAAGTCATCACAACCTTCTGTCTATGTCTGCTTGGAATTGCATTAGGGAGGAGGAGCAGGGCTCGGGTCAGAGGTGGGAAGCTCGAGGAAGAGGAAACGTTTTTGTAGCTGGTAACTTTTACTGCTGCAAACGGAGTAATCACCATCAAACTCTGCAATGTTTGGAATATCTTGGCCTGAAACAATCTGCAGGCTGTTTTTATATCGGATGTAATCTACTTTCTCATCTAGATGAGCTCTATATTGCAAAATGTATGACAGATTGATTTAATTCAGCCAGTGTCACTAAAATGTAATTGCATATCTTCCCTTTTCAGTTTAGAAGTGGTAGCTTGGTTATTGTTATTCAAAATTCACAATAAAAGTCAGGTTGGTGTCAGATCTGAAATAATGTTTTGTGTTTTTTTTTTTTTTTTTTTGGCTTTTAATGTTTTTTAAAGTCTGTATTCAAATTTCTTTTATTGGTGAGTAGCTCGTCTGTCTCTGAACAGATCATCAATGCATGGCTCGAATTCTCTTCCATTTTACATTTGAGTTAAAGTATCTTTTTGGAGTTTTTTTCCCTTTCAGAACTTATGTATGACTTTTCATAAATCCCTAAACTGTGATATAATGTAAGCAATGCATCGATGTTATTTCTTTATTTATTTTTCCTAAGCACGGCCCCTGCCCTGCAGAGCTCTGTGCAATAGGAAACTGTGCACCGGCCAGAACTAACCAATAGCGTTAGACTACCGCTTATGTGCTTCAAATTTAAGGAATACCTCAGCTGACGCAGAGTTGATGAACTTTTCACAGACACGTAAGACTTTAAAATATAAATATATGAGAACACAACACGCCATGAGAATAATACTCGTAAAACAAGGCGTTTAAGCTCTGTTTGTCGGCTACAGAAGGCCGTTAATAAACAAGAAACGTGAAGTCGCCATCTTAAAAAAAATGGATCGAGAGACTATTTGCGTGATATGCTTGTCAGCCACTAGATGGTGCCATCGAATAAGAGAAAGACACTTTAAGTGTGCTCCTGAAAACCTCTAAAGCTTTAGAGTGGCCCCAGCTTTACTGCAATGGCACTCAGAGTGCAGCATGCTTGTTTCTGCTTTAGTCAGATTGTTCACATTTTTAGTAGTCATAAAGGAAAACTGGTAACAAAGGATCAGGACTAAAGCATGCCATTCAATAACCAATTAGTTCAATTAGAAAGAAATGGGCTCCAGTTAACTTGAAGATATCCTTGTTTTTCTCACTTAAATGGACAAAAACATAGTTTTGCTAATTATTTTGGGATCGTTGCAGGCATTTATTTAACACTATTCCAGCTTCCATCGACATTAGGATATTAATTTTCAATTTGTAAACTTCAGAAACTGAAAGCTGATTTTTATCTGAGCCGGTATAAAATTAATTCAAAGTCCAACCATCCTGCTGTATCTGACCAATTGGATCAAGCTTTGTAAAATGTTTGGCTAGCTTCCCCTCCCCTGTTTTTATTGGAAAATTGAAAATTAGAGAGTCAATTAGCCCTCCACTTGACATTTAAGGGAACATAAATTTTTATCATATTAAAGAAGAAAGTGCAGCTGAATACTTCATTAACCCACTGTTTATTTATGCTAATTAATTTAGAACCGAAAGGAGAGCTGGAGGAGCTTTCCCAAAGTATTTCACTCTCCATTTTTAAACCATATTTATTTGATTGTTGTTTTTTTTCAATAAAAACGGATACAAATCTTTCAATTGGATGCCAAGTTTGAAAGGCGGCTTGAATAATGATTTTCTATTAAATATTTTAAAATGTCAGAGCGCATGAGGCCAGAGGCAGTAAAACAAATCCCTGCACCTTCTCTCGGGAGGACAAAACACCACCCTGTAAAACTGTGTCGATGCCTAAGCTCGTATACACGTATATGTTCAGAGGGGCTTGGTGTGTAGCCTCGGGCTCCTCACAATGTCAGCTTGAGAAGAAACCTAAACTTGTGTGTGGGTCGAGATTCTCTCCCCTAACCTTGTTCAGTGAGTCCGCATACGCACAGGAAAGACGGCTCAGATCACAGAGCCCCGTGGAACTTCAGAGGGGAAGGATAAAAGTCTTCTTCTCAGCTGTTTTTTTTTTTATTGCTTTACCAAGACTTGCGTTGCTTTTACGTCCGTCAAACATCACGGAGCTCGGGTTGACTCATAAGATCTCGTCCCCCTGTGAGGCATCACTGAAGTCTCTTGACTATTTGGGCTCAGGATTCTTCCTCCCCTCAGGCCAACCTCTGCTTCTGCCTCTTCGCTCACCAACCCTCCTAATAAGCGTGAGCCCTCGGTGAAAATGGAATAAAATCACTTCTTATTTCTATCATAGACCATTGAATACAGGGGAAACCTTTCATCCTCGTACATTTCTTTGTCTTTTTCGGTTGGCTGTTACTTCCCACTGTCAAGACTGTCAGAAAAAAACAGCCCTTTTTAGATTTTTCTACAGCTAATAGCATTACTTTTACACACAGAAACCTAAAGTTTGTGAGTCACGCCTGTACTTACCATTGCATAAAACTGTCTAGTTTCTGGACAGCTCTATCTTTATCCTTTTTAATGTTTATTTAATGCATTTATTTCCCAATTTCCTACTCTCACAACTAAATCCATCTCTGTTTTGCATTGGTAAAGGCATTTTCTATCCAAAACATACTTGGCTGCCTTTTTCTAATGGTGTCATTTTTCACCCCTAATTCCAACTGGAAGCATCAGTGGAGCAGAACGGTTAACTCGCGACTTTCGTTGCGAGCCAGTACACACTGGGAGAATCTCAGCAGCAGAGCAGCTTCTCTACCGAGTCGCTGGACTCGCAAGATCTCAAAATCCCTCACGACTTCAAAGGTCACAGTTTGTTTATGCCATCTACTATTAAACCAAATAGACGGAGATCCCGTTTGATTTGACTGATGTCATATATAATGCTGCTTCTCTCTTCTGCCAGGATGAAAGTGGCAGTGTGTAGTTTCCTGACTCTAGGGGGCAGTACATACATTTCGAGGTAGCTTTACACCACATTGCCACGGCTGTTGCTAGTTTAAAAAACATTACGGTAAAAGTTGTTACCTGTGGAGAAGAAAGCATGCTACCTCGGCATGTCTCATTAGACTTTGATGGTCCTTTAGTTAATTCCATTAAGAATGCATTGCCGATTGTAGTTTCCGGGTCTGCTCGGGGGTCCTGTGCCTGCCCACGACGTCATCATACTACGACAATACTGCTCAGCAAAAATATGTTGCATCTCTTTTTCGATTCACTTCTTCCACAAAGGGTTTGGAAAGAGTTTAGCAGCTTTATTATTAAATTTGTGTTTCTTACTACCCAAATATTTGTGAACGTGGTAACATAACTTCCATAAGTCGTAAATCCAACCAATCATCTAGTGTGATGTCATCGAGAGGCGCAGGACCCTGAGCCGGCCAGAAGGAAACATGATGTCTAATATGGCATCCTCCAATGACTAGACCTGTGTCCTATGTACGTTAGGCCCAATTTTTATGGTTATATGGTACAAAGTAGGGCTGGGCAAAAAATCGAAAATGTATCGCTATCAAAATTTCTGACTCTTATCGAGATAATTTTTCCCATGTCAATAAATTTGATGATAAAAAAATGAAAAGATGTGTGTAGGTTGGCAACGTTCATGTCCCTTTAAGAAGCTGTACCACCTTGAGTCACGGAAAAATGTCTAATGGACAACTTTTGTTTTTGAGCATACCTGTAGTTATCGCCCATTTATCGTTATCGAGTGAAATCCTCAATATATTGTGACATTGATTTTAGGCCATATCGCCCAGCCCTAGTACGAAGCCACCAATATTTTTAAACAACTTGACATCATTTAAATCTTTTCAACAAAGTGTCTACGGATATTTAAAGGTAAAAACTACGCATTGTCTCTTTAAAGTCATGAACAACACACCGCTGCACTTCTCAAACAACGTTAGGTCACTTGTATTGACGTAATCTACATAGACATGTAATGGAATTGCTGCAGTAATCTTTCATTAGCAGAGGTTTTACACGGAAACTGTGTGTGATTTCCAGCCTAGCCCTGTGTTAACTGCAGAAATTGTTGTGTTCCAGAAGCGGCTCGCGGTAAAGATAGAGCCCGATCCTATCCTTAGTGGCGCAGCGCGGGGAGCCGCTTCCTTGGCCGTGCCTGGTTTGAATCACCCCCATAGAATATAATGGATTCTAATTAGAAGCAGTGACGTTCCGCAGACGTTCTGTGCCGCTGATGCTTTCAGTGTGAAGTAGGGGTCACTCTCATTGCAAATGTTAACATATCCTTTAGTGTTGTTTATGCTAACAGATGTTTTCACTTTGCCGTGCCTCTAACATATCAACTTTAACTCCTGTCGTACTCTTTTAGTAACTCCACACCAATTCCATGACGCACATATAGAAATTGAGTGTTTACATGCTAAATGACAAAACTGTTGTTTTCAGGAACATGCACCCACTCAAAGTCTGGCTTTTATCTCGTGTATGGACTGTAAACATCTTTTATGGGGCACTACGGTCTTTTTTTGGGAGAAACAAAAGCTTCCTCACACTGATCCTCCCTGGAGGCTGCTGCAGGCTGCGGGACATTGTTTGTCGGCAAATTTAGCAAGGTGTGCAACGGTCAGACTAAGGTAAAACTGGCTGTTTTATGGGAGATATTACTTTGGTTTTATTAAGCTTGACACCGCTGGCTCCAAACATGGTTCAAGCCCCAAAAGGCATTGAGGTACAACAAGAAAAGCAGCGTATTCCCAAATGAGAACAGGAAAGTACCAAGGCCGGATAAGAGGATCGTTACCAAGGACTTAAAGGTCTGAGCATCAGTCAATCCTGATGCAACCTTACTGGCCAGCCCAGCTGAAGAGATTTTCTACAGCAGAGGACATTAATTTAGTCCAGGGAACCACTTATGGGACCCTGGAGAGCTAGACGCCATTCTATGATTCTTTTCTTTCTCCATACTTTCATTTCATGGCTGTTAGCTCCTTCAGTATGCTCTCCATTATCCTACTATATTGTTACCCCCCCACTAAGCAAAGCAAATGGGAAGGACCACAATGCTGCATTACCAATCCTCAGCAATCCACTCCAACAGAAAACACATCAGAAATGAGAGTAGCATTATCCTTTTCCTTTTACTGGAGGCTAACAATAGAGTCAGTGCGGCCAGGTTTTGAAAATGGGACAGCTTAGACAGAGGATCCATTACTTACTAAGCTGTTGAACAGTGATCTGGACATTTCGAGACCTCTTGCTACGATCAATGAAGTCCCCTGTTGGTGTCTTTTCTCGCTCTGTGACTCGGCAGATGTACTTCCCAGAATCTGCGATGTGCAGGCGCTGCAGCTTGAGCAGGTGCACGTTGGGACTCTCTTTACGCACGGTCATGAGTCCAGCTGCTTCCCGGGCAACGTAATCAGGCCCCAGAGCAGGCACGGCACTGGGGCCCACCACGGCCACCGGTGAGCTGCTGAAGACCCACGACACCGAGAAGAAACGCTCCGGGACATTCTGCGCCTCTATGGTGCAGCGGAGCTCCAGCGGCTCACCGACCGTGAAGGACCGTCGCTCCGTGCTCACCTGGATGCTGAAGTCCCGGTCTGAATGGAAGGGAAACAGATAAATGTCAGAATTACAACCTGCAGAAATGAACATAATTATTTTATAAGACACTGCATTTTAAATACTGAAGCCAAAAATATACAGTTAGAGGTTTTTATCTATCATCCAGCGTTTTGATGTTTGAAACAAGCCAATTGGTTTAATATGAGCAAGAGCTGAAATGCACGACACTGCTTCATTTTCTTAATAGTCTGATATGCTGAAGGCAAAAAAATGGAAAAAGATTAAAGAAGATTGGTGGGTGATACAAGGAGCCCTTTGGTGATGGCCAAGGATGGGAGGGGATGGTGTGCAAAGAGCATCAGTTAGTGCTGAAAAGAAAATAATTAGAAACTAAGGAAGGCTGAGGTCACATGGTGCACCACTCCAGTAAAACTGATCTTACAAAAACTCTTCCCTACCTCCCTACTTGGCTTCACTACAGTAATAAAAAGAAGAAAAAACACCTCATTAAAATTCTCTTCTGCTGTCTTAAACGGATCGAGGTGCTCCCTCCTCCTCTTCCTCCTCCTGCCCCGTCTCAGACAACAAAAAGAGCAAACACGGATAGTTCTAGCACTTCCACATGGCTAATTAGGCTTCTGGCCTGTTTATGTGCTGATGCACTCATGAGCGTGAGTGTGTCCAGATTTATTTGTTGTAATAATTTGCGGATGATGAGGTGGTATTTGTCAGAGACAGCCGCTTTGGATCTCAGTAGGGTGCCCTTGAGCTTTAATTACAAAGACAGTCAGCAGGGTTCCTGAAAAACGCATTCATGTGGGCAAGTTCAAAGGCGACTTATGTTCAGGATTTAGTTATACAGGGGGATGTGTTGACAAGGAGGAGGGGCCTGCTCACAAACACAAGCTTGAATCTATATTTGCTAAAATTAATTAAAGCTAGATAAACATTCACTCACATTCACATCTATGTGCAGGGGCAGTTCTAAGGGGATCCAGGGTAGGCCAGTGCCATTTTAACAATCTTGGACCCCCCCCCAACCTAGCCTAATCCTTGCTGAGGGCAGAGGCTGAAGCCTAGTTCATACTTCTCCGTCAGCTAGCTTGCACTCACATGCACACATACTGATAGAGACATTTTCCTTGTATACTTCTTCGTTGGTGTGTCAATGTTGTGAAGCAATTCTCCTCCAGGACAGCAGAGGGCGCTTTTCTGGAGTACCCGGCCGTCATCGCAGTCAAGTCTCTAATGTATTTACTGTTATCTTTACCTATTTCAGAGACTTTTTAACATGAACACGTTTGTCCCTCATTCTCCTCCAGTCTCCACCTCCAAATCTGTAATTCCCCGTAATTTCCACACAAAAATTAAATGTCTGCTGCGTATTTTTGTACCCAATCTGTCATCGTTATATTAACGTTTATTTCTTCGCACTTCTTCCCCGAGACGTACTTCTATCTGCTCCGTGTCTTTTGATAGATATATTTGGCTTTCATTTTATTTTTTTGAGGAGGGAATGGCGGTTTTGTTGACCACGTTTAAGTAAGAGGCATCAATCACTGGCTTGCAGTCTCTGTCACTTTTGACAAATAGTTAGAAAATTGGGCTCTACTTCCTCCATCCATGCGACCAAGGATTATGGCATTGCGTGTCTCCGCACCTCCGCAGACGGATAAGGATAAACTAGGCTTAAGCATTAATAAGTACAGATTTTCTGTGATAGTCTGGCTTGAAGCAAGATGTGGAACCAAAGCATGTGGATTTATCTGAAATAGCAGAAACACTAACACAAATAATTGTATGTGTTACATAGATAAATAATCTAGATAATGCATTTATTATTATTATTATTTTTTTTGCAAAATAGTAACATTTTAAAACTAACTGAAAAGCTGTTTTATCTAAAGTAACAGTACCTGAGTCACTGTTATTATGTTGCTGTAATCGACTCACTAAACTTTAAAACACAATGTTTTGTAGTGTTTTCTTATAATTGTGCCTCTCTAACGGAGCAGCTGGCCCCAGCCTGGCCAAGTCTAAGTCAAAGAACTCTTAGGCCCAATGGAAGGGCCATTGGACAAAAACATTTACTAAATAACTAATAAATTGATATTAATATTTGATTTATTTAATTTGAAATTCCCAGTATTTAAAGCAGTTGGTGACAGCCCCTTTCCACTCAGATAGAAAGATTTTCCGAAGAAGGAAATGCAATAAGATTGAATAAGTAATAGTATCGGATGGATTTTAAATAAAATATACATTTTCTGCTTTTTTTCAAGAATTAATCTCACAACAGTGATTTATTTTTATTTCATACACTGGGAAACTGATGATCGTTTACTATTATTCTTATGTCAGTTTTTTCCCTGCAATAATTTTCTTCCCACAAACCAAAAAGGTTAGCATGATAATGTAAGTGCATACTTATCTGTCTCTTTGACTTGACCCTGTGACCCTCTACAAGATGAAGTGGGTAGTAATAGTATTAAATATTCATGTGGTAGTATCAAATATGCACACACATAAAATTCAATATGACCAAACAGAATAGCCAGCAGAAGTCAAATTACTGATGCATAGAGCCACGAGGACAGGAAAACATTATGTCGTGATCACTGTCATCGATTAGTAAGTGACCCAAATCTGGTTGTCGCTTAGAGTAATGCTCCATTTTTAGGATGATTTTATTGGAATATAATAAATAGAACATGGTGGAGCCTCGTTAATCCCACACAAATTTAATATGTGGAGAAAATGTAAGCAAAAAATGTTAAAAATTAATAGAGAGCAGAAAAACTATATAAGAAGAGACACAGAAGCTGAATGTGTGACGTAAGCAGGGAATGAGGGAGGAGGTGAGAGACAAGAAAAAGAAGGAGAGATATGGCAAAGGTAAAGATACATTAAGATTCTGTCTGTTGCTCCTCTCTGATGTCGACTGTGGATGATTAGCTAGTGATGAGCCTGTCTGGAGATCCACTCCATCTTTTATAATAGAAGTCTAATGGAGGATGCTGCCGCCTCGCCTGTCTTCTTGCACACTATCTGTCAAATGTGCAGTTAAACAGGTAAAATATTAAAAAAAAAAAAACACAACTTTAGCCTAAAGGCATGCAAGCTGCACTCTCGCAACGCAACCGAGGCGCAAAAACAAGTCAGTACGAATATAGACACTCTCAGGTTTAAGCACTTCCATCCACAGCTGCACACGGCAGCACAGATGCTTTATTCTCTTTGTCATGCAACAATAACTCCATCAATTATAGATTATAAGAGAAGAAGGAGTGACAAAGGATGTTGAGAGTTGAGCTTTTTGTTTCACCCGCACCCCCTCCCAAGATGTAGTGAGAAACTTGCTTTACAAACTCCTCTCATCCGAGCCGTAATATCTGGGGCATCATCAAGTTGCATCAGTCCACAGTGTATCGAATGCTTTAATGGACAAAAGGAAAACGACTCCACTTTGAAGTGATTTGCTGGCATGAGGCACTCACCACTGCACGCCTCTTTGGTAATGGCGCTAATGCCAAAGCAGTTTTATCGCTCGTGTGCTCGGCCCCCGTCTCCGAGGCATATAGAGAGTCTTTATGAACGTGGAACATTTCCAAGGGTGTGATGTCATCAGGTCAGCTGATAAATACATGCATGTGATAGATCATAAAGAAGTCCTTGTTCTGCATCATCCTGGTCAACAAAGAGGTTGATGACTGACTCCCAGACATATTAAATGTGCAGCCACCCCTGCACATCCTGTGTTGCTCCCATGTACTCCCACCATGCATTTCCCTTTATATTAGCAGCTAACTTCCTCTTTTAAAGTTGTTAGATTTAGTAACGAGCACAGCGCAAACCTTTTGTGTTCTAACAGAAGGCATGAAGGGACTTTTTCCTGACTGAACCCTGGGCCACATGCTGCCTTGGGGAGTTGTTTATGTCTACCATGTCAAACACCTACTCTATTTGGAGCTAGTTAAATTTATTCCTGGATTTGCGTGTAATGTTGCCCATCAAGCAGACACAAATACAAAAGTGGGTAATCTGTGGAGGTTTAGTTAAGCCCTTTTTATCGAGCTAATGAGCTTAGCATGAGATACCGATCAGCAATCAGAGGAACTCTGCCCACATGCAGGCTTGTGTGCCTGTCGAAAGGACAGGGGGGATCTAGACCGACGTGATTAGCCCTCTTCTTCTTCTTTCTCACAGAAATGGTTCACTCTGTGGCTCTGGAACCGAGGACGCAGACTTGTCCACTGATTATAGGGTTTAGGGTTTGATGTCCATGTGTCAAAGCGTTCTTGGGTAAGACACAGAACCACAAGTTGCTCCCAGTGGGCATTCCCCTGCGTGGCGGCTCCATTCATGTTCACATGCTCAAACTGCTGAATGTGAGAGGGATGAATACTGAATGAAAGGCCAATTACGAAGCGCTTTATCGTTAACCCATTAAGGCTTAAGCATGAGCGGGTAGGAAAAGAGGGTGGGAGCGCATCTCCTACTCGAGCATGTTTCTTCCCCGTCGAGACCTGAGTTGTGGATCAAACGGAACATCGCTGCCTGAATAATTTAGATCATTGTTTGGTTTCCACATAAATGTTTAGCATATTTAAAATGCTGCTAAAGAAAAAGAGGAGTTAGACTCCTTTACACAAACTGTTTAGGCTAAAAATGGAGAAAAATCTGCAGGTCAAACCCAAAAAGGTAACACTTTACATTAACATTAATAAAAGCTCACTTATTTACACATAAACTATTGATTAACCAATTAGAGACTGGCTGCTAGCTCTGCATTATCCAGCATTATAGTGATTATTACATTGTGCTAAATAGCTATTGATTAGTTAATGTTAGTTAGCAACTGGCTCCTGATCTGTTGCTTGATGACTTCATGCATGTATCTTTAAATCATTTGTTGCTAATTATTACTCAGTCACTGACTATTCACTCAATTCATCATTATCATCATCATTTAAGGGTAATTAAAAAGGTGTTCAAGATTTGTTTATCCTTTATTTTTTTGAAAGGAAGAGGATGATAATAGGATTGGAGTGGAAGTTGAAAGTCCACTTTAAGGGACAATTTGCAACTCTTTCAATTTTCAATTCAATTCAAGTTTATTTATATAGCGTCAAATCATGACAAGAGTCATCTCAAGGCACTTCACGCAGTAAACATTCCAATACAGGTCAGGTCATTAAGCCAATCAGAAAAAAGTTTCCTATATAAGGAAACCAGCAAATTGCATCAAGTCACTGACTAGTGTCAGTGTCTTTACAGCAATCCTCATACTAAGCAAGCATTTAGCGAAAGTGGAGAGGAAAACTCCCCTTTAACAGGAAGAACCCTCCAGAGGATCCTGGCTCAGTATAAGCAGCCATCCACCATGACTCACTGGGGATCGAGAAGACAGAGCAGGCTGCACAATATATCGTAAATATATCGTTATCGCGATATCAGCATCCACAATAAGCATATCGCACAGATCAGCTAATTACCGTAATGAATAGTAAGCTGAAATGTTTGCTACACATAATGCATTCTGTCAATCATACAAAAGCATTACGTTTTTTTAACACATCAGATGGAGCTCTTCACCCATTTTGCCAACTGGGTGGGTTTTCATAGGTTAGACGCCCGCCCCCGAGGTGGACGGCACTTAATTTTGATGGTTAGCAAACACCTGAGTTAGCTTAGTTCTGCTCTTTTTGCTGATTCTGCTTTTCCTGGGATCCACTGATTGACTTTTCTTGTTTATTTTCTTTTTCCCTTTCCTCACATCTTTTGCTTTTCTCATTTTTATGACTTTTTTTATTTCTTTGTTTTTGATTATAGTTTCTGAGTTAAGTTTTTATTTATCGCAAGTAATATCATCATCACAATATTAATCACTGTTATCGAATATCGCAAGTTTTCCTAATATCGTGCAGCCCTAGTTACATTGTAATTTCTTAGTAAATATTCTATTTGGTGAGAGATAAACTTTATTGTATTTATCCTAGTGATTCTACAATTAAACGGGTAAACTAGTAGTAGCACATTTTCATATTTTTAAATCATTTACTTGAGCCAGCATGTGCTCAAAACGACCCTTTATAGGGTTAATGAAAGGCCACCCAGCCCCTATCACCCCTGTGGCCAAAATACTGCACTTGCAACTTCACAGTTGCCGGTCCGGTCTGCTGGGACTTAGAAAAATTGAGCTGACTTACTTGATGCTGCTGTCTGGCTTCAGCATGTTTGCTGCACATTTTAGATCATGAACAAAGCTGATTTGTATAATTTAGTGATGAATCCCTCCTCTAGACACTTAGGAACGCTGGGAGACGTTTCAGCTTAGATTAAGGTGTGCAGCGAGGAGATAGTTTCGCTTCTACAAATGGACAATAGGGGGTGCTAAAAGCAAGCAAAACTTCTTAGTATCCCTTTAAGTACAAGAAGTTGTTTATGTCTGCTCAACTTCTCGTCCATGCTGAGTCAAGTACGTGTTGTTCATTAGCTACGTCTGCAGATGTGCTCACTGGGGTCAAATGGAATATGAAGGTTTTGTTCAGCAACGATGCTCTTTAGCGTTAGCATGTTGCATCTGTCATGGGTTATGCTAACTCATTCATTGCAAGCAGTTTCCTGATCGGTAAAGCCCTTCGCTGCCAGCGTTTCTCATTGTTTTTAATGTTTTTTTTAAGAGTCACAGAACGTTGCGCGCTTGAATGATGTCGACGCCCAAACTACCAAAACAAAGAGTAGACTAACCTCTTACATCAGGAAGAATCCGCACGTTTCGAGCTTTATCCGTTCTTTCATAATCCATTGTCGAATTGTGATTGGAAGAAGCTTTTCTGGTTCGCGCCTCACTTTTTTTACAGCAATGGCCAAAAATGATCTCCTAACACATGAATTTTCTGCTTCCTGATCACATGACATGTGACGTATTCGGATGGAGATCGGCTTTAGAGCTGAGATGTTTGTCCTCATGGTGCGGGGGCTCGTTCCGGTGCCCACACAGTAAAAAAAATGCAGATGACAACTTTAGTCGTCTTTGGCAGCGAATGAGCCAAAGTAGGATGTATATCATCACTTTCTAAAAGTTGAGTTTTGGCTGTTTAAGGGTTCCTAAAATGCCCATCTATGTGAACACTGGAACCAAAGCTGTCAAAAAATTACATTTTCACAAAAACATTGTTCTTCTGTTTTCTTTCTATCATTTCCATCAAAACTTTCTCTAAATATGGCACATATAAACAACTCGAATATGTGTAAAGAGATTTTTTTCACCATTTCTATCGTCTTTCTAATATTTTTAAAAGGGCTTTTTGGTAAAAACAAAAGCTTATTGTTTGTTTTCTTCAATAAACTCCTTCTCTGTGCTTTAAACCTGTTCACTTCACTTCACTCAAGGTTGTCTGCAGACCTTTAAAAATCCTAGAAGCAGTGAAAAAGATTAAGAAAACTCCAGCATGCATTTTTTTACCTTCTTTGTGTATTTCAGTAAATCACAAAGGCTCTCATTGTCACATATGTTACAACTGATGGAGTCCTATCAAACGTGTTGCATCACCTTCTAAAAGGCTTCATGTTAGACTCGTATAGAAAAAAAGTTTTTCGTAAGAAATCCAGTTCACGAACAGTTCACTCACCAGTGGGCTGTATTCGAAGCTGAATCTTATCGCTCTGTTTGCGAGTCATAGCGAACCAGCTTCCGTCTGGGTCCTGAATCCACTCGGTGGCCTGACAGTAAAGCAGTCCCTGATCTATCGGCTGCAGCTTGTGAATGGTCAACCTGTAGGCTGTGGCGCTGGTTTTATCCAGCCTCAGATCCCCCGCTGTTATCCTCTGTCGATAAGGTCCTCCAGAGCGCAAAACAAAGTCCCTGGACAGGGTGACCAGCTCCTGAGGCGGGGCGGCTGCATCCTCCGGAGACCTCAAATACCATCCGACCGACAGGTGGGTGTGCTGCTCCGTGGTCCGAGACACTTCGCAGGTGAGCTGTAACGTGTCACCTTCCACTTTGGACAGAGTCTGAGGTGGAGCTGATACGGTCAACGAGTCAGCGATGACTGAAAAATAAAGAAAACAGAAAATTCATAATTATTATAAATACTAGCTGAACTGTTACCTTCAACACCCCGCATATAAACCCTGTACCTGTTTAAAAATGAAGTAAAATGTCGTATTGTTGGATGTCAAATGTTAACACAGCCTTCTAGGCTTATCCTGCTATTACAGGTGTGAAGATAAGCAGTCACGATGCTGTAAAGTGGTTTGTAATCTGATTTACTCCCAGAAGAAGGTTTGAGGAAAAGGCGTTAATGCAAACAGTCTTTTGTTCGAAGGTGACTGGCCCCCATTTCCTCCTCCATGTATGACTTTCACATGACACTGTGTGTTGATGGCTTTTCCTCTATCTCACACAGCCAGAAGCCTCCAGAGATGCTTCTGGCACCGCTTTCTGACGGATCATACCCAGTATTGATTGTAAGAGCAAACAACACAACATTCCATCTCCAAACATCTCAAACATTTTTATATCACACATGCTAAATATGTGAACGTCATGTTAAAATGACCGTATGGATTCAGCTCTGTTTTATCTACAGTGCAAGGAAGAAAATAATAATGAAATAAGGGGGAGAATACAAGCCAGATGGCCGAGAACAGGGGAGATGAGAGAGTGGGACACTCAGGTGCAAAAAAGAAAAACTAGACATCAAAATAATTTCAGCAGGCTGGTTGGAAACGCTCAGCCTGGCAACAGAAATAAACATGTGCAGCTTTTTAAGGAAACCTATAAAAGCTGAAGGAGTATTTTTGGACGTCCACCGGTGAGTCAAAGTACAGTATATTAATGTTTGGGGAAGATGGAAACGAGAGGATTTCAGACTAGATTTAGGGATTTGAATGCTTTATATATTACTGGAAACTACAAAGTGGAGAGGATAGGAGGTTTTCATGTCACAGGGAGTTTGCATTAACAAAAATAATTACTAGTCATAATGTAAAATGCACACATTTCAAATAATAATAAGAAAGAGAGAGAGAGAGAGAGAGAGAGAGAGAGAGAGAGAGAGAGAGAGAGAGAGAGAGAGAGAGAGAGATCAAGAAAGCATAAGTAGCAGGAAATGAAAGTAAAAAAAATCAAGGTCAGATTCAACTGCCCTTTAATAAGGTGCTGCACTCAGAGGACCCCTGAACTGAATACAGATCTGACTGTTTTCTGCAATAATTTGCAGGGATTTTTAAAATGTATGTTTTTGGGGTCTGATGGATCATTGATCCACAAATTGCTTGAACTGAATGCTTTAAAAGTCATCTTAAGAACAAGGGGCTCAAAAACAGTCACAGGCAGCAACAAATGCATTTTTTAGTAGGTTGCAAGAAAAATGGATCAACATGTGACTCATTTTGTAGATGGGTGGGTAGGTAGGTAGGTAGGTAGGTAGGTGGGAAGGTAGGTAGGTGGGTAGCTAGGTAGGTAGGTAGGTGGGAAGGTAGGTAGGTGAGAAGGTAGGTAGGTAGGTGGGAAGGTAGGTAGGTAGGTAGGTGAGAAGGTAGGTAGGTAGGTAGGTAGGTGAGAAGGTAGGTAGGTAGGTGGGAAGGTAGGTAGGTAGGTAGGTGGGTAGCTAGGTAGGTAGGTATATGGGTAGGTAAGTAGGTAGGTAGGTAGGTAGGTAGATGGGTAGGTAAGTAGGTAGATAGGTAGGTAGGTAGATGGGTAGGTAGGTAGGTAGATGGGTAGGTAAGTAGGTAGGTAGGTAGGAAGGTAGGTAGGAAGGTAGGTAGGTTGGTTGGTAGGTAAGTAGGTAGGTAGGTAGGTAGGTAAGTAGGTAGGTAGGTAAGTAGGTAGGTAGGTAGGTAGGTAGGTTGGTTGGTAGGTAGGCAGGTAGGTAGGTAGGTAGGTAGGTAGGTAGGTAGGCAGGAAGGTAGGTAGGTTGGTAGGTAGGTAGGTAGGTAGATGGGTAGGTAGGTAGGTAGATGGGTAGGTAAGTAGGTAGGTAGGTTGGTTGGTAGGTAAGTAGGTAGGTAGGTAGATAGGAAGGTAGGTAGGTAGGTGGGTAGGTAAGTAGGTAGGTAGGTTGGTTGGTAGGTAAGTAGGTAGGTAGGTAGATAGGAAGGTAGGTAGGTAGGTAGATGGGTAGGTAAGTAGGTAGGTAGGTAGGTAGGTAGGAAGGTAGATGGGTAGGTAAGTAGGTAGGTAGGTAGGTTGGTTGGTAGGTAAGTAGGTAGGTAGGTAGGTAGGTAGGTAAGTAGGTAGGTAGGTAGGTTGGTTGGTAGGTAAGTAGGTAGGTAAGTAGGTAGGTAGGTAAGTAGGTAGGTAGGTAGGTAGGCAGGAAGGTAGGTAGGTAGGTAGGTAGGTAGGTAGGTAGGAAGATGGGTAGGTAGGTAGGTAGATGGGTAGGTAGGTAGGTAGATGGGTAGGTAAGTAGGTAGGTAGGTTGGTTGGTAGGTAAGTAGGTAGGTAGGTAGGTAGGTAGGTAGGTAGATAAGTAGGTAGGTAGGTAGGTTGGTTGGTAGGTAAGTAGGTAGGTAGGTAGGTAGGTAGGTAGGTAGGTAGGTAGGTAGGTAGGTAGGTAGGTAGGTAGGCAGGTAGGTAGGTAGGTAGGTAGGTAGGTAGGTAGGCAGGTAGGTAGGTAGGCAGGAAGGTAAGTAGGTAGGTAGGTAGGTAGGTAGGTACGAAGGTAGGTAGGTAGGAAGGTAGGTAGGTAGGTAGGTAGGTAGGAAGGTAGGTAGGTAGGAAGGTAGGTAGGTAGGTAGGTAGGTAGGTAGGTAGGTAGGTAGGTTGGTAGGTAAGTAGGTAGGTAGGTAGGTAGGTAGGTAGGTAGGTAGGTAGGTAGGAAGGTAGGTAGGTAGGTAGGAAGGTAGGTAGGTAGGTAGGTAGGAAGGTAGGTAGGTTGGTTGGTTGGTAGGTAAGTAGGTAGGTAGGTAGGAAGGTAGGTAGGTTGGTTGGTTGGTAGGTAAGTAGGTAGGTAGGTAGGTAGGTAGGTAGGTTGGTTTGTTGGTAGGTAAGTAGGTAGGTAGGTAGGTAGGTAGGTAGGTAAGTGACTGTATTTCAAAATGAACAAGTATTACACAGTTAGTGAACCTCAACTCTCTGATGAGGACAATAAACCTAACCTCTTGGTGTGTCAGAATCACTTGCAGTCATTTGATTTTGCTCTCTGTCAGCTTTTGTTTTATCCTGTCCCTCACCAGTATGACTCTGATGAAGGATCCTGCTGTGGCTAGTGTTTCAATTGTTGCTTACTTAGGGTTAACAGTGTCTACAGTCCCAGCCATCTGTAGGGGAAGTCCCTCGCTCATTTCTCTGGCCTCTTTTGATGTTTTCAGGATGGACACCACAAATAATAAAGCTGAGTAAACACAAACATGGCTCCAACTCAGTCAATATTACAGGTATTATTGTCGCGTTTAGGACTTACCCACGACACTTGTTCCCAGCTCCAAACCCTAAGATGCAGTGGGTAATATTAATTCAGTTATGCATTGATCAAACGAGATCTCCTGTTTTGTTGCACAAAGCACGTCAAAAATAAAAGTATTAAAAAGTAAAAAAAATAAATGACTTTTCTAAACTCCCGATGCACCATCAGGGCTCTCTACAATATTTCTATTTGCTAGAAATACCTTCAAGTCTAGCTGTGATCTTTGTGAACCTTTAGCCGACCAACATCTCCCACTCCAGTCAAGAATGAGTGAATGGCAGCATCAAAAAGACTGTTACCACAACAACACACCTACGCTACAACCTGCCTTTGCCATGGCAACCCTCCCACATGATGCTTAGGGCATTTGAGAACAGTCAGGAGTTACTATAACAACCGCACCCACCAACACCAACCCAAATATGGATCTGAGTCACGTCCCCTCAGCACACACACACACACACACACACACACACACACACACACACACCTATAGAAAGAATACAATTTAATAAAAACTGAGTTGTTCTACCATACCCCTTGGCCCACTTCTGCTAAAGATACTTTTACTTTCACTTCATCCCAAGTCAAATGAGCCAATCACATGTTCTTACACTGAAAAATGTAGAGGGGCAGAACCAATCAGATAACCCCAGTCTCAGCCTTTCCAAGGGTCAGGCTGAGATTGTAAACACCAAGATCTTCCAACAGCCCTACTGACCTCAATCTGGGAGGGATTAAGACCAGCATGAGAGGACATTCTCAGGTCCTAACACTCATGTTTGTCTCTTGATCACATTTTACAGACTTATTTTATCTGCTGTCAGCTAAGATGCAAAAATAACAGCATTTAGGGACACTTTGTACAGACGGTCATGCTTGTCGTCACATTTTTAGCGTCTCATGCTACAGTCTACATATTCTTGCTTTACAAGGACAGAAACTGATTGATGCATTGATTTTACCAATAGACTTAAAACACTAAATTATCCAAGACAATCCAGTACCATCCAAAAGGAAGGAAGAGTACATTTTTACTTGGAACATCAAGTAAGAAACTATAAAAACTCAAACAGCGCCTTCAACAAATAAAATTGCACATTTTAATGTTTCTTAAAAAGTAGGGATGCACCAATACCTCTTTTTTCCAAATCAATTCAATACCGATACTTGGATCTGAGTACTCGTCGATACCAACGGCGACACCAACTACCGATACCGATACTTCTACCACACAAAAAATACAATGAATTGGAATACAGGTTTTATTTTCTTCTCTGCTTTCAACAGGAAAATACTGGGAGGTAGATAAAGAATAAAATATATAAACAGAAATGATCACAAAACTAAAATATTAGGCGAACAGAAAAGACAAGTTACAGTGAAGCCACTTCCAGACAACTGCACTGGCATTGGATAACCTTTACCCTATTAAAAAGAATCGTTATGAATGATTGCAGAACTGCAGCAGAACTTGACAGAATCATTTCATGGGATTGGTTTACCTGGACACACCAGGTTGCTTGTTACATGGAGCTATCAGGAAAATCATAATTATTAGGAAAAAAGGAAGGCATTTATGTCTGTGCATGTGTTTCAATCAGAATCAGAGTCCAGTGAGGAAAATCAGACTTTTA